AAAGTGATGCCTCTGGAGAACAGGGAAGAAGATCAGACCAAGTCAATACAAATGCACTGCATTTGTAGGGCTCCCTTTCCCCTCGTTTTGAAACCCAGGATGAAATCAGAATGATTGCATATTGTCCTTTTCTTTCATGCAACATTATGCAAAATGTTGGAGCTTCTGCTTGCATAATTTCTACCCTGTGAGTCAAGCTGCAACCCTATTCCTCACAGCTTTCTTTAGTTTACACATTTTCCCCAAGTAATAGCATGAAACAAACCTTGCTTTGAGGTTTGATTACCAAAAAGTATCAAATATCTGAAGTATTGGTTTATCTCACATAACACAAGGCATACAATGAACTAATGAGGAGACAGAAATAGCAGAATTATACTGTGAATTTAGACAGCAACATATTTCTAAACACAGATTTTCTTTCAACAAGCGTTTTGCCGTATTTGCTTGAAAAGTAGAATTTCAGGATTTCTACCAACATAAAGCAGCCCTTATGGCTGTACCTTTGGACTTTGCCTTTGCAAATACTATGCAACATGTGCACATATCCCTGCCTAACTGCAGTACACTCCCTGAACTGAGGCTTTTAAGTGCAAAAGTCGAGGCAGAACTGCTGCCAGTACAGGAAGCAAATCCTATGACCTTCAATTTGTGGATGTTGCAGGTTGTGGGTCTGATGCCGATGTACATCAGGCACTGGCACCACTGACCTCTCAACTCGCTTGGCCTGGGAAAACCTAGTAGCAACCCTTCCCCTTTATATTCTTTCTTACTTGCATACGTTTTTTCCTATCACATAGAGTGCTAAGGAGGCTAAAAATCAACTAAGCATGAAAGTGTTAACAGGAGCTGCTAAACTTCTGCACTCAGAAATGAAGAGCAAGAAAGGAAAAGCTCAAGAAAATGCAAAGCTACATTTCAACCTGGATTTCGGTTCCAATCAGATCAAGAAATGACCCCTACCTCTTCCCCTGGCACAGCTTTTAAGCATTCAAAGCACAAACTCCCAGTATGTTGCCTGAAAAGCCCAGGCATAAAGTTTATCCTTTAATTTGAGGCTTTGTCATTTGACTGGGGGGAAGCAATCAGGACAAAGCTCTGGACCATGCTGCTCAAACATGACAACAGACACACCAAAAATCCAAGCTGGCTGCACGAAGCAATTAAAGTAGTGTTTACTATTCCATGACAGTTAACATGTTGGACTGACCTTTCATTTACCGTTTAGTACTGAACATTAAGCTGCAAAATTACTCATGCTTTGCATTTAGTACTGGCATCAAAACTAACCACATTAGATAGCTATTCCCACAGTGAGACACACATTCCCTCTGCCCAGCTGCGCTCGTACTTTTATAGGCCTTGTATCTGATATTTAACATCACTTCCACAGGTTATATTCATCCATTACCATTAGGAATTATTGGTAACACAACTCCAAAATGTAAAAAGCATATGTAAAATGTCGGGGTGACACAGCTGGTAAAATTATGTGCCTGCCTTCCATGCTGAGAGAGATAAAAAGAGAAGGCTGGTGTATGCCCACAGGTCCCCACGGCAGCTCCCAGCCAGATGGCAAGTACAGAAGCTACCGCAGAAAAGTTTCTTTGTTTGCTCTCTTTCTAGCTGCTTACAGCAGCCATGTTATGAAGGGAGGCACAAAATGCATTTCAGAAGAGCCTGGCAGCCCAGCAGCTGGAATATTCTCACTGAAATGGGCACCTTTCCATTCGTCACCCTCAGGCTGAACTTGGGCAGGAAGGACCTGGAGTTTCCAACCCTGGGGCGACGCTCTCATGGAGAGGCTATAGATGAAAGCAAGAGGTTAAAACCCTAGCAAAGCACCTTTGCCAGCATGCTTTTGACTATCTTAGTGTCATGACTAGTTAAAATTATGGTTATTTCTATCCTTGGCTGTGATTTGCCTGGCCAGACACCTGGCATGCACAGGACACTGCATTTTGACAGCAGAGCTAGGATTTTTGGGTCATGAGTTGCCAAGACAAACACAGGTCTATTCCATTCACTCTGCCCTCTTTCCAACTTCCACTCATAGTGCTGTCCTGCTGTGGGCACTGCATCTCAAATACTGGAGGCTTTTTCATTACAAATTTCTAAACCTCTATTTGTTACACCTTTTTTGAAACAGAGTGATGGGCTCTATTAATAGACAGTCTGTGAATACCAGAATAATATTCAGTTCGTATCTAGACCAGACCAGACCATTAATAAATACAAATATATTAAGGGATTCCCTGCCATTTGTAGGGGGGGGTTCATAGTCATAGTGGCTATTTATATCTAAATCTCTATTTTCTGCATTGTGGTGGAAGTTATCTGGCATATTCTCCCCCAGCTCAAATATTCTCATTGCAGATTCAAAAGAGCAAATTTTCAAAGACTGCTCAGCATGCTAATTAAGACAGAATCACCATTGATTTGATCTCGCCTGCTTCTTTTTCAGTATTCCTAGACAGGTGTGTTGTGCAACCAATATGCTAGCTCAATGGCCAAAATTATTAAGAGATTGCTGATAGAAGGCAACTCAGTGTATTTTAAAAAGCCGTATTATTCCCTGAAGAAAGAAGCAGCCTAGTAAACAAGGTTGTAACTGTATTTAATGCACATTTTGCTTTTAACAGCAATTTGCCAGTTTAAACAGCATAGACCTTACAATGCTTAATTAGTGAAGAGGTTATAATGCTTATAAAGTTGTATCTAAAATATACCTTATTCATTCTCTATTAACAACATTTTTAAGACAGTCCAATGTTATAATTACATGCTATACAGTAGCAGCATGTTCAGCCCACTATAGTTAAGGTGGTGCCAGCATTCTCATCATGAACCTTTTTCAGGGTTTGAACACATCAGCCATAAAATCACAATGTGGTTTGAAAAGATACGACATCCAAGAAGTGACTCCTTCACTTCTTGTGTGTATTGACTTCAGTCAAATGAGAGTAAAAATAGTAAAATGCATCTAATAAAGGACTCAACCCAAATTTATTTTGGATAATTGCTGCCTTTGCACAACATGCTCAAAATTTCTAAAATGAAATTTAAAAGAAGTCAGCAGACAGCACAGTCTAATCAAGTTTCAATGAATCCGAGTACAAAGTGTTGTAAAGTGGGTGCCACAGATGCACAATAACCACTTCTCACATACTGCACATTCTAACGTACACAAGGCTTCTTCTGTGTAAATATTTAGACTGGCAGGTAAAAGCAGTTCTACCACCAAGTGAATAATAAAACCTACTCAACTCCACTTGTATACATTTATTGGTTGTCATGAAACTAAATTGTTTACCAAGTCAGCACACCAGCTAACAAGGTAACATATTATTCCCTACAGTTAGGATAAGAAACATCTGAATTTTTATGCCATTCGTGCTGTGATAATTCAAGAGGTATCATGTGGCTCACCAAGCTGAAGCCATTTGTTTAAGTAAAGACAGAGGAGGCAAAATACTGTATGGAAAGGGACCCAACAGCTTCTTCAGTGGAATGCCAGAGCCTGCCTAAAGAAACTTACCCTTACTTCATATTAATAAAATGCTTCTTTTTGGAGTATGGTTTGATTAAAAGAAAATCTCGTCAGGGATCTACTTAAACATGTTCTACCTCTGCTTAAAGCAAAGTGCACCTGTAAGTGCTTTCCTGAAACACTACCCCACAAACGTGTGCTTCAGGAGTTGAACTGTAATGGAACTGTGACAAGCTGATGAAACTTTGGGGAGCTGCAGAACAAAGTTCATTATATATCATTTGCTTATTTATTAATTTTACGCTTCCCCATTCGAGAAGTCTTCCTTCTGTGACCACCTCTTTCATAACAATGCTTTTGGAAGCACACTACTGCATACTTTTCAGACTTAGAGATGAGCACATAAGACTGAAAAAGTTTCCTATTTCAAGCTTTCATGTACAATGCATACACACATTTATTAATAAAAACTTGTCTATTAAAACAACATCTACTTGCTCTTTGGACCAACTCCAGTCTCCATAGGTGACTGTAATATGTCTTATAAACCTTTCATGGAAGATTTAAAAAATAGTACTTCAAGACAAACAATTAAAATGAATATATTAAACATCATCAGCACAGGTACAGAAGGGTGAAAACAAAGCAGGGATATCCCATACCGAATTCACTGCTGGCACAGGTTAGCAGTATCCTCTTCAAGTTTGCTTTCTGCCTTCTTGCACAAGTTCTTTTATCTCATGGTCTTAAAAGGATGCTGCAAAGCCAAGAGGAATTCCATGTATGCCCCCAAATATGGGTCACACACTAAAATCCTTCTTCTTAAGAAGGGAATGGATTAGCATGCAGCCTATTTCAGCTCTGTGTCCTATGAGACTTTCTGTACAGGGGCACCTGTAAAAATGGGTTAACAGTATTTCTCTACCTCAGAAATACCTCCACTGCTATAAGAACAAATGCATTCATGGTTGCCTGGACCACAGTCACAGCAATAAGGACTACATAAGTACCTAAAACACAGCTTTGCCTCCTTCTGCTGATCCCTGCAAACAGAGCAGGTAGTAGTCAAGAACTATCAAGAGTAACATTGCTAATGGAGGGTTTTATGACACCATATGGTAGTGGCTGCTTTAGTCCAGTAGAACTAAGTTTTGCAATAAAAACTCCCGTAGTTGTTGGGCTTTCTTTCCTTATAAGGGCTCAACACAAGTCAGCTCAAGAGATTGTAAAAGAATGACCTGAATTGTACTCTGTTATCAGTCATTTCAGAACCTGTCCACACTTGATGATGGCCCACACAAATTCATATACAAACATGTATACTGGTTGTAGCAGGGGAAAAAATAGCAAATAATTTCCAGTCTTAGTTTCCATTTCTGTGTTCTGTGATCCTGGACATGTACCACAAATGAACTGCTACAGCAATAACCCATACAATCCATATTAAGATTACTCACCTGT